AAAATTGGAATTCAGGCACAATTCCCACATCGTTTTCAAAACAAATAATTGACTGTTGGTAGCTCCAATACTCATCTCTCCATGTCGTAAAGTACCAGAACACTCCACAATGTACCGGAATATTCCCGATCATTTTTTAAAAATGCAACAGATGAGAGCAATTTCCCAGTTCGAATAAAACTTATTTATCGAAGCTTTGGATCCTGAGCAGAAGAAGGTATTCGTCAAAGTTACAAACGTGTTGTAATACCATCCGGTGACTATTAAATGAACTTTAAAGTCAGGAACCCCTCGTGCTACCGCAGGGGCATGAAAAAATATTCATTCTTTTAAAAATGCATTAATTAGTAGAAATATGTACAGAGGAATGGCTGGATGTAGTGAAAAAGTGGCAGAAAATTTCAAAAAATGTCTATAACGCACAAATCTACCCGGGTGGGCAGCATCGATTCAAATGACGGGCGGCCTAATGTCTGAATTGGTCGGGTGACCCATGGTTAACGACATGCTCCAGAACTAGTGCTGTATTAAGACTTACTTAGAAAGAGTTTTTCACTACCACTTCTTATTTAGCTGGGCATCGAGGCTTGCTATAAAGCGGCATTCTCAATATCCAAAGGCTCAACAATTCGTACAGCATACATACCGCTAGAAGAAGAAATAACCTTCACGCAGTACGAAAATGGAGGTATCAAGATTGTGTTGTTCAACGAAAGTCACACAAGGCTTGCCCTTCGTCTCAACCTCATAAGACTGTAGGTAAGTAGTTAGTTTTTGCAGAAAAAAACGGTCTGAAATAATACAGTCGAAGCCACGAATATAGATGTCTTCCACTACAGTCAGCTGTCCCCAGAATACAGCGCGAGCGATTTTCTTTACACCAAATCTTAATCTACATGGCCTGACCACTTCCTGCATCAGTAATAAAAGCCTAGGGGAGGGGAGGTACATTAACGATCTGAAAATAATACGAAATAGAAAGATATAGTGAAGGCTAATGAGCACCTTGCCCAGAAGTCTTTGATAAGAAGGAAGTAGAGAGAAAGCCTGGTCTGCTCGAATCTATGAATAGAAGTAATTCAAAACTACTACCCAAAGTTGCATATATTGCAACTTTGAAATGATTGTAAAAGAACATGGGTTACGGCTATCCAGTTATAGTTAGGCATTATGCCATATTTGTAGCAGGAACGCATGAGTTCCAGAATAAACCAACAATAGACGCTCATTGCAGGCCATTAGTAGAAACAAAGGTAAGAATACACGGCAACAGGGAATGATATATAGACTGTGACAATGAACCTGCGAACTTACCTCAGACGAACCTGAGAATGGCAGCATTTGAGTGTTCCACATGATGAAGAAAAGGAGATTCCTATTATCTTCTATAATATAATAATTACTGTTATCTCTTCTTTCTCCGCAAATAGAACCAATAGGAAACAGTATAGAAGGCAATAAGAATTTACTAGACTAGCAACAATTCCGCTGAATGACCACAGAGCACCATTCACAGTTATCCACACTCAAATTTCGATCTAACAATAAGTCAAATCGAAATGTCTCATGCAATGGCGTGCGCCAGGGTTACCAATTCAAATTCACGTTAGGATTACCATCTCAAAACAGAGTAGGATGGAGACGATCAGGAATTCTTGTGCTCTACGATTCCATGTATGTATTCAGGGAAGGAGAGTAAAATCAAAGAAATCACCACCAAATACTCAACCAGTTCCATCTCTACAATGTCAACGGACCATATTTTACACATCCTCGTTAGAAAATCACTGCAAAACTCCACTAGTGCTCTTAATTAGTTGCCTGCTACATTTAACATTCTGCTATGAATGTTGTAGCTTTTGATGATTAGATCTTGAACACCGTTAATTGAAAAACAGAGAATGGTAAAAGTTCTATGACACAAAGCTCGAAGGATATTGTTAGCATTTCGAACGTAAGGGTCATACGGAATTGTCCTAGACCGATGTGTATGGCGGAAAACGGCTGCTGAGGCACGCTGCTATAGCTGTCACCACAGTATTTTGTCACGGCTGCAATTTAGATTCGTTCTACCAATGAAAAGCTGGCAACTAACAACTTTTTACTCACACTTAACTTTTTTAATTTTACTGATACAACTTCCCTGCCATTGATTTTCAACCTACAATTTTGAGCCTCTCAAGCACTACTCAGACAACATAGTGTTCATGTTCCCCTTCTTGGGCCTTTGCTCAACTTCTACATCGAAACAAAAAAATCTTGAAAGGACTCACAGGTATGGGCAAACACGGAGACTAAGCACTAAAAAACGGGTAAAATCTAGAGTGATGTTGGGAATTCACTGTTTTCTAGCATTCTCAGGGCCTCAACCGTTTCCGTGAAGTAACGTTACAGCAAATTTACTCACGAAACCACAGGGTTGGGCAACCTTTAGTCGAGCTATGAGCAAGCCGAAAAGTTACCCTGATCGATGAAGAAGGAAGAAGTAAGATTTAAAACAAAATAAAATAAAATAAACCTAGCCACCACTTGGAAGCTAGCGGTTGTGATCATGGCTTGTTTAGTTCAATGAAAAGTCAAGGAATAGCAGCGATAAGTAAAAAATGCTCGAACTTAGAGAATCAGCTTCTTAATAAACCACATTTAACCTTGAAGAAGCAAATATAAAGGGCAATATAGCTCCATGTACCAGTTCTAATTAACTTGCGTAGTTGAAAATCAACTTTATGATGTGGTGCAATATAAATAACGGAATGTGTGCAGGGCTCCTCTCACAATACAGCATCCAACTGTTTGCGAGACCAAATACTTCTAATCAATACTTATCATTGTATAAGCTGATAGAGTGTGGAGCTCTGAAGTGTGAAAGCGGCCGAACAAGGACAAATTTTTGTGAAAAAAAAATTAAGTGACATAACAAGGATATCAAGGATACGATAATGTAATGATTCTTGGAAACACAATGACCATAAAAACAGGCAAGCATTATTAGTCAGACTCTGAACAGAAGGCGGCAGATCTGCCCGTGTGAGATGTCTAAGTAGACAGTCATCATGAGATCGGCGGATCGATCTCGACAGCACTTCAGAAATCATCCTAATCAAGTGGCACACCAAAAAGATTGTATGCTTGATCAGGTGCGGAGCCGATGGCAAACGTTCGGAAACCGTATTCCCGTAGTTGGCGTTGATCGAGAATCAGGCGACCATCGAAAATTGACGCCGGGTGTTTCATGGTTTTGTAGATTCGTTCATAGTCCAGAGCCTGAAGCGGGCTATTAATTACCTAACAGGTGACACACACTACCGAATAATCCAAGTATAATGTGGACTTGGCCCGAAGGAAACTGAGAGTCCCTCTAGGCAAGCGATTTCCACGATCCCGCTCATATTGCGTATTGGTGCGGACCATTTCGTTAATCATGGAAAAGCAAAACCCTTAAACTACACCCAGCAATCATGGAGCTTACCTTGAACTCGTCCCACTCAGTCAGAACGACAATAGCATGAGCATCATCAGCAGCCGAGTAGGGATTATCATGTACCGTCACCAATTTTGTGACTGAAAATCAATTATCTAAACTCTAAAATTAGAATTAAGGTTTTGTAGACCTCAAGTTGAACTCACCTAAATCTGCGGGTGATCGCTGCTCCAACTCCCACCTCATCTGTGTTTCCGTGACCTGCAAATAGTATAGGAGTAGCGTCAAAGTGTAATCACACCATTTAGGTGCTACCGTAATTCTAAATGTACCGTTTCTTCACGCGTTTTAAATTCTAATAAATCGTTATCACAGCATTTGCAACAAAACGCGTTTTATTATACTGGATCACTTTTTGGATATTTACGGTCAAAATTACAACATCTAGATGTCGCTATACGGTGGATTATCTAATCAATGAAGCTTAACCATAAGCTATAGCAAAAGGCACAAACATACCACTAAATCAACGACACATATGCATCTGAAGGGGGTTTGGCAATACAGAAAAAGATGACGACGCAAAGCTATATCATAGTGAGCCCAAACCCCTCCTGATACGAGCATTGAATGGGTTTCCTAGTGTTTGTGAACCCGACTTTAACTGAAGTATTTTACCAACAAAAGTTGTAGTTGAGTAGGCCCAGGTTCCTACAGTACTCAAACGTGGGGCAATCCGATTTTGAGTCAAAGATTCCTAAACCCCTAAGGTTAATACACCCGAGCCACTACCGAAATATCGCTCAAATGAATCCATGAAATACATCCACCCCATAGACTGCTTTCATAGCCCACGATTTGGCGAGCAACCAGTCGCGCGACCGGTCGCAGACCCATCGAGCGAGCGACCGAGCGAACAATCGCGCGACTGGTCACTCGCCAAATTGTGGACTAAGAAAGTAGCCATAAAGTCAAACCGAAGCGTGAGATTTTTAAGTTTGAAGAAATCCTTCCAAACCTTTGGATCGTAGACTGCAATTTGAGCGTGTTCTTCTAAAAGATGGCTGATGATATGAATGGCCGACGATTCTCTGAAAAAAGTCGAATTAAAAACAGCAGTCATATCATAAATAATCTACAGTTGACAAAAATAATCAAAATCGATCGATAGTGGGATGCCAGAAGACGCACGATTTTAAAAGTTTTATGACTCGCAGTACTGGAAAGGGTTCGCGGGTGTGTGTCAAGTCGTGCATCCGAGGGTGCGCGCGGCAAATTGAGCGGCGAAGTTCGTGGCGACTTTGGACGACCCGACGCCTATCATTGAGGCCCAAAACTGAAGTAAGGTAGATTAGTAAGGTCAGCTGATCCTACTATTCTACT